CTACCCAGGAGGCAGAAACTTCACTACTAAAACCTGGGAAGTCCCAACAAATCAGGGCGAGTTGATCCCACTAGAACAGAGCCTCAGCTGAGCCCAACTGCCTGCACATCCCAGGACCCTTTGAGTGGAAGTTGGCATCCAGCTGACTCCTGTAGGGGACACAGACTGTGCCTTGTACTAACCCAAGGAGTCCGTCACCTCTCCAGACTTGTTTTCGTCTATGCCAAATGGTGTTCATAGTAACTGCCTCCTGGGGCTTGTGGTATTTGAATGAGAAGCACAAATGTGCCTACTGAAGTGTCTGTTGCACAGTAATCACTTAAATGTTAGCTCCCTTTTTTATCACTCATCCACTAAGTTCATCCAACATATGTGAGTATGTGCACTGTGCCAGGCACTGCTATAGGCCTGAAGAACAAAGGCAAACATCCTGTTCTTGTGGAGGAGGAAAGGTAAGCACTAAAAGAATAAGTCCTCAACATGGTGGATGAGAAGACCTTTGCACAAGGACCGGAAGGAGGGGCGGGAGTGAGCCCTAGCTTGGAAGAGGGTCTGTGCAGAGGGAGCAGCAACAGTGTATGCAGAGGCCAAAATAGAAGTACAAGGGGTAAGGGATGCGTGCTGGGCCAGAACCCTGAGAAGACTGGGAGGTGGGGAGAGTTACTATAGTATCATAGATACTATATATAACTATAGAGTGCTATAGGCTCATAAGAGACCTTAGAGGCCATTGAAGGCCTTGGTGCCCAGTTTCACTCCAAGTAAAAGCCACAGAGGGTTTTGAGCAGATGAGTGGTGTATACTGCCAGGGATCTTAAAAAGGAGTCCCGTGGAGCAGGCTAAGACCTGGAGAGCAAGGGTGGAAGACAGAGAAGAGAGAAGAGAGTCATGGGTGGATCATTAGGTGCTAATAGGAGAGCCTGGCTGGTGAGGGGTCACCCCGCCCCTGCACCCTAAGATGGGTTGCTCAAGTAGACCTGTTTTACAGAATGTTATTAGGCTATTGAGATGTCCCTTATGATGATCTTTAGTATCTTTTTTGCTTCCTTTTTTTTAAGTTGGGGTAATAACCCAGGCTGACCGGGAATTCACTGTGTGATCCAGGCTGGCCTTGAACTTGTGGCCAGCCTTGCATTATCTTCTTGAGTGCTGAGAATACAGGCCTGAGCCACCATGCCTGGCTATGATTTTTAAAAGCTGATGTCCTAGTTACCTTCCTAATGCTCTCCTAACCCTTCTAAAGGAGAGAAAGGCATTTCCTCCTAGTACATTGTAAATCCCTCATCTTTGCAAAACATCCCAAGTAAATTAATGAAATATCAGTATGCCCATTTCCCTCAACCAAATCTGCTCACCAAGCACAATAATCTCAAGCTGGCACAGCCCTTCCCTTTCTCATCCCCAAGGGGAAAGAGCCAGCAAGACCCTGCCTCCTGGCCACCCTGCCCCTACCTACCTGGGGATCCAGATGACCTGCCCAGATACTTCTTTCCCAGGCTCTTCCCCGACTTTCCTACTGGGAACCTGACTTTCTGAAGTGAGGCAGGCAGAGGAGGCAGGGAACATCTGGGAAGCAGCTCAGCTTGGTTTCCAATGCTTTGACCAAGCCCTGGTCCTCTGTGGAGCTCAGCTGGCTGCTCAGCTGGAGACCTGGGTGAGGTACTTGTCACTAGTGACAGGGTCCTGGATTACAGTCTCGGGTACCATGTCCCCAAATAGTTCCTTGCCCTTCCTACTAACAAGTGAAAATGGCCTCCATGCCCTCCAATTCCTCACTGCACTACCCCACTCCACTTTACCTCCAGACTGGTTCCATATCCTCCCTCCAGACCCACAAGGATCTCCATTCCACCTGCTGCAAGTTTCATGTGAGACTGGGAAATGGAGGCCATCTCAGACTCTGCAGACAGCATTCCTTTGCGTACTTGTTTTCCCATTTTCAAGATCCCTTTTCTGTCTTGATGTCTAGCCTTCATCTCTCTTACTGTCGAAGGTCACACTGCTGGATGCCCTTCCGTGGAAAGGGAGAGATGTTTGCCCTCACGCCATGCCCATCCTTCCTCACTAGTGGAAGGCCATCCTAACAGTGCGAGGTTCCCTGACACCCTCCAGTCTGCCCCTGCTCCTTCTAGGCACATACATTTCCTTGCTCTGGTGGAGTACCACTACCCCTGATAGATTCTGACCTCCTCCAGCTGCCTGCCTGTTTTCAACGCAAAGATTGCCCCACCCTATCTGCAGGAAATGCATCATACAGGCAGCCAACAGCTTCCAGTGCCAAAGCTAGGACTAAATGTAACAATTAGCAATGTGTAAAGAATTTAATGCATGCCGACTAACCTTAAATGCTGTGTTAGGTTCCTACCACCTTAAAAAATAACTTGTCTAGGGTCCAGAAGAGGGGTCAAAATACTGAGAATAATTCTGCCTCCTTTTTCCTCTCTGGAAATGTTTGGAGCAAATACATATGTGTGTGTGTGTGTGTGTGTGTGTGTGTGTGTGATGTAGGTGAGTGGCATACATGTTATATGTTAGTGAGCAGAATGCTAGTTGTCAAGACTGTGTAGTAGCTGAACTTTGGCTCTCTCTCTCTCTCTCTCTCTCTCTCTCTCTCTCTCCTTGACCATCATGCTTTTGCAAAAACTTATATCTTGTTAGCAGTTCCAACAAGCAAATGGTGAATCAGAAAAAAGATAATCTTTTAAATTTTTTACTTTACTTATTTTATTTTTATTTTGTATGTATGAGTGTTATGCCTATATGTATGTAAATGTACCTGTGTTGGCCAGAAGAGGGTGCCAGATCCCTTGGAACTGGAACTGGAGTTATAGGCAGTTGTTAGCTGCCATGTGGGTGCTAGGATTTGAACCCGGGTCTTCTGCAAGAGCAACCAGTGCTCTTAACCACTGAGCCATCTCTCCAGTCCCTAAAATTTTTATTTTTTAATTATATGTGTGTGTATGTGAGAGAGAGAGCGAGAAGAGAGAGAAAGGAGAAAGAGAAAAGAGAGAGAGTACAGGTGCCCATGCTTGTGAGCCACCCAACATACCCACCCATTGAAATTAGGTCCTCTGTCAGAGCAGTACATGCTCTTGACTGCTGAGTCATCTCTTCAACCCTAAAAAAAAAAAGTCTTTTTAAAAAGAGGCCTTTAGGAAAGAATGTCAGAGCTGGAGGAAGGGGTGAAGTGTTAACCGGAAATGTCCTCCAACCACTATGCCGGCAGACTACAGTCACATCTTCCCATGCTCATCAAGGAGTCAAGGGGGAGTCAGTTACCCCTCCTACCCAATCAGTTGACCTTAGCTGCATGTGGGGGGAGAAGCAAAGAATATATAAGCCGAGAACACCAAGAGGCACCTCTCTCACCATTTTGTGCAGCTGTTGGGAGGTCACAGGTTCTGTATTTGAGTTGTGGACTTTACAATGCAGACGTAAATGTGGGGCACCTACTCTTCTGTAAATAAACCCCTACCCTATGTACTGTTAAAAAAATAATAATAGGGGCTGGAGAGATGGCTCAGCAGTTAAGAACACTGGTTGTTCTTGCAGAAGACCCAGGTTCGAATCCCAGCACCCACGTGGCAGCTAACAATTGTCTGTAACTCCAGTTCCAGAGGATCCGATGGCCTTTTCTGTCCTCCGAGGGCATTGCATGACATAGGTGCACTTACCTACATTTAGGCAATACACTCATATACATAAATAATAATAAATGAAATATTTTTTTAAAAAGAGGCCTTTGGGCCAGACATGGTGGTGCATGCAGAGGCAGGTGGATCTACATAGTGAGTTCCAGGACAGCTGGGGCTACAGGGAGACCCTGTCTCAAAAAAAAAAGGCCTTTGGGTGGCTGAAGAGATGTCTCATGGTTAAGAATACTTGCTGCTTTTCCAAGGACCCAAATTCAGTTCTTAGCACCCATGTTAGACATCTCACAACCTCCTGGAGCTCTAGCTCCAGAGGATCTGACACCTTCTGGCTTCTGCAAGCACCCGCACACATGTGGCATACACTCACACAGATAGACACATACACATGAATAAAACAATAAAATAAAATCTTTTAAAAAATAAATACAGCTGGGCATGGTGGCACACGCCTTTAATCCCAGCACTTGGGAGGCAGAGGCAGGCGGATCTCTGTGAGTTCAAGGCTAGCCTGGTCTACCTAGTGAGTTCCAGGACACCTGGGGCTACAGGGAGACCCTGTCTCAAAAAGACCAAAAATTAATTAATTAATTAATTAGAGGTCTTTTAAATTTAATTTTTATTGAACTTTTGCAAATTTCATAAAATATATTCTGATCATTTGATTCCCTCCCGTATCTACACACACACACCCTTACTAGCCCTCCACCAAACTTCTGTGCTCTGATATGCAAAGGCCTATAGAGTCAAGTTTATGTCTCCAAATGACCTTTGGTGTGAGTCCATCCACTGGAGCCTGGTCAACCTACCAAGGGTCTCACCCTTAAACGAGACTGGATTGCTTCTTCCCAGCAGCCATCTTGTTGCCAATATTTCCTCAGGTAGGACTGGGCTTTCTTATCCACTTCCCCACATGTATGCTTGGATTTTGTCAGTTTGAGCCTACATGAGACTTGTCTGTGCTGTCATTGCTGTGAGTTCATATGAATAACTGACCAGCTATCTGGAAAACTCTGTTTCCTTTTGGTCATCTACCTTTGGCTCTTATAATCTTTCAGCCCACTCTTCTGCAATGATCCCTGAATCGTGGGAGAAAGAAGTTTGATATAGGTGTCCTATTCAGGGATAGTCAGACTGTAGCCTCTTGTTCTCTACACATTGGCCAGTTATGGGTCTCTGTGTTAATCACTATCTGCTGTATAAGGGTGCTTCTCTGCTGTGAGTTGAGAAATGCATTAATCAAGGAAGGTCTGGGAAAGCTCCCAGATCTGGCCAAAAAGAGGCCTTTTAACTGGACTTCTATTGTTATCCTCCCCCTTCCCCCCACTCTCATTCCTCTCTCCTTTTCAGGTCTATCTGGAAACCCCACAGATCTGGAGAAGCGTAGACTTGTTTTTGGACAGAATGTGATCCCTCCGAAAAAGCCCAAGACCTTCTTAGAATTAGTGTGGGAAGCACTGCAGGATGTCACGCTCATCATCCTGGAGATCGCAGCAATCATCTCCCTGGTCCTGTCCTTCTATCGCCCCCCTGGTGGAGACAATGAAAGTGAGTGCCTAAACTGCCCTGCATGGCTGACCCAGGTTCTTCCCACACCAACCATACTCAGTGCTGGTTGACGGGTTGTAGCACAAAAGGTTCCTGTTACCCAGCAGGCTCTCCAAAGGAAATCAACCAGCAGCTAGTAAGCTATTCTAATCATCCTTATTTCACACTGTTTCCCTTCTCCTCCCACAACTTTATTCAGAGTGTCACCTGTCCTATGTCCTTATCCCTGCTTCTCAATGTGCCCCAGCACATGGCATTATAGAGAACAGCAGTAAGCCTGCCTGCTCTTCACAGGACCTGCACTGGCATACTTTGTGCTATTTAGTAATTAGCATAAATAGATCTAGTGATGAAATGGCTGTTCATCCTGCTACCTTCTAGTTTCCTTGGAGGACAGCTCTTCGACCTCAGAGTTTTGTTTTCTATTGCTCTTTCCATGACTTTCCATCTCCTGGAGGTTGTGGAAACACCACCCTCATTTCAGTGACTCTGTCTCCCCTCCCTGGATAGTGTGTGGTCATGTTGCAAGTAACCCAGAAGAGGGGGAAGCAGAAACCGGTTGGATTGAGGGGGCGGCCATCCTCGCCTCGGTGATCATTGTGGTATTAGTGACAGCCTTCAACGACTGGAGCAAAGAGAAGCAGTTCCGGGGGTTGCAGAGCCGCATTGAACTGGAGCAAAAATTCTGCATTATCCGGAATGGTCAGCTCATCCAGCTCCCCGTGGCTGAGATTGTGGTGGGAGATATTGCCCAGATCAAGTACGGTGAGAGCATCATGTTTCTCTGACCTGTTCCCACATACCAACACATTTGACTTGAGGGAGCTATGAATTGCTAAACACCCGCCCTGCACTTGTGCACACACACACACACACACACACACACACACACACACACACACAATCAGCCCCCAAGTTGTGCTAGCTTCTAAGGTAGAGTTTAAGGAGGTTGTGGAAAGGACTTCCAAAGAAAGCACTAACTAGAACTCCTCCAAGACTGTCAGACATGTGCCCCATGTGGGCTAGGAGAACCGGTATATCATATTTAGGCCACAGGAGGGTATTTGGGGGTCATTAACAGTTTGAGCTTATAGTACCTGGAAAGTTATCTTCACCTCAGATAAGTTACCATCTCTCTCATTCCTTCCTCATCCCCTCCTTTGGGATGTATGTGGATTAACCCCAGGGCCACTTGTAAGTACTATGCTACTGACGCACACCCCAGCCCTAGTTACGGCTCTCCAGGCTCTCATAAGGCTGAAGCACTACAGGTTGGGCTGGAGGAGTAGCCCTGAGGTAGAGTGGAGGAGTTGGAGGTCCCTACACCCTGCCAGGCCCCCTTACCTCGCTTTCCCTCACTGTCATCCTTCCCCCGTATACTAGGTGACCTGCTGCCGGCAGATGGAATCCTGATCCAAGGGAATGATCTGAAAATTGATGAGAGCTCTCTGACAGGAGAATCAGACCATGTCAAGAAGTCCCTGGACAAAGACCCCATGCTGCTGTCAGGTACCACCTCTGCTGCTCAGGTTACCTTTTCATCTGGATCTGCTACAGCATTCCAAAGGAGCCCACACTTGTGTTGATCTTGGGTTTAGCTGGATCAGAAACATATTGATAGACTCAATACAAGGATATCAATAACCTGAAAGAGGTTTTCATGCAATAATGATCTTGGAAGGGCTCTGTTTGATAGGATGGTATGAACTTAGGTACATTAACCTTAGCTTCTGTTTTGTCTGGTCTGTTTAAAACTAATTCTTGGCCGTTTCTTACAACCTACTAAATGTATCGTTCTTCATGGGGGTCAGGAGACACTAACTTTAAAAGTACTTAACACCAAGTCATGGCTAGGAATATAAAACAACATTTCTTCCCATCTTCCCCTTTCCCATTTACAGGAACCCATGTGATGGAAGGTTCCGGCCGAATGGTAGTGACTGCTGTGGGGACCAACTCCCAGACAGGAATCATCTTTACCCTCTTAGGGGCCAGTGAGGAGGAGGAGGAGGATAAGAAGAAGAAAGGTAAGGGATATGCTGAAATAGATTCTCTTTCCTCTCATTCCTGTGGATGAACTAGACATCAAGGAGCCAATCCATGATGGAAAGTCTGTTAGAAAAATCTGCTTGGATGAAGCAGCAGATACCCAGCTCCTTGCCAAGATAAAGATGTCATCCTTGGCTCTCCAGGGAACTCTGATGGAAACCAGATCCTTGCTCAAAGTGCCCAAGTCAGATTTCATTTGAACCTCAATTCCTATGTTTAGGGTAGGTTGTGAGTGGTCGAGTTCACCCTGCCCAAAATGAGCTGGCAGGAGTGATAGCCAAAATACCCTCCTCCTCCCTTACCCTCTTTCTTGGGGATTGAGGAGGAAATGAACCATCACAGCTAATAGGAAAGTGACCCGAAGAAAAGGATGGATCCTGCTGAAACTGTGGGCTCTGGGTGGAAGAAAAACACAGCTAGAAGAGTGGACACAGAGAGGCAGTGTCCCCTGTAGTCAGCCAGTCTTGGCCACTCACTTGTTCCTGGAGTAGGAATAACTGGAGAAAGAGAAGTAAAATCCACACCTTTTTCTGAGCATTCCTTCTTCCCTTGAGGGAGAGAAGGATTTCTACTACTTGGCAAAGAATCATCTTGAAATGGAGACATGGTAGGTCTCTCAGAACTCAACTATTCATTTCAAACACAGCTCAGATGAATACATAGGAAACTTGCCTGGTGCTATTGACTTGACCTGGAGATACCTTTTAGAGCCTTGTGCAGACACAGTTCCTGCCTCTTTCTCTCCCTAACCCTTACCTCATTTTTCCAAGTGATGTGACTCCAGCCAGGAGCATCCTCCCTCCTAACAGCAAGAGAAAGCTGCTCAGGTGTGACCATGCATGCACCTGCGTGAGCACTCTGTCCAGGAACCCAAGGATTAGAGCCTTCATTAGAGACTCTAGGAAGGATGAATGAGCAGAGATGTGAGCTTCCTTTACATTTATCTCCCTGCCCTGCAACCCACCTCCTTTGCGGCAGCCCTCTGGACTCGTAGAGGATCAACAAATTGACTATCTGATCTCTTACTAGTCACTTTGGGTTTCCACTCCACCTTTTTCTTTCTTGTTCAAACAGGTAAAAAACAAGGAGTCTCTGAAAATCGCAACAAAGGTAACCTCTCCACCCACTCATGTACCATCTCTACCTGCCCACGCTCAAACCAGACCTTTCCAGGCCATCTGTCTCCCCTGCCCTCTCCATAATCTGTTATCTGCTGCTGTGGCCCAGCCTCATCCTGAGGACGGTGCAGAGAACAGGGGGTGGGCTCAAGGCAGAGCAGCAGCACCCTCTGCTGTTGGCTTGAGGAAGTGCACATCCAGGATTCTTTGGGTGTTGGGGATGGATTTGCTCTTCCCAGAGTGCTGAGCTCTGCTTCACTGCCCACATCGGCAGTTTCTGGGTTGGAAGTCATCACCAAGGCCCTCACTGTGGAGGGCGTTGGCTGGGCAGTACCTGCACCCTCCTCTTGCTATCTGCCTCGGCAGTGTCGTCCGGTCTGGATGCCTCTCTGCTCTCTGCTAGTTTGCTCAGGGGTGCTTTAGAGAAAGACTTTTCTCTTTGCCTCTCTCCCCACCTCTTTCTTTGTTCTCTCCACAGTCTGTTTTGTTCCTCCTGAAATGGTTTGTGTTTCTCTTGGTGGCTGTGTTTACATCCCATCTCTGTCTTGTTTGTACAGCAGACAGCAGAGACAGTATCTCAGGAGGGACTTCTAAGCAAAGGGTGAAGCTGGAGGGGTGCTGGGGACCAGCAAGAAGTACTCTTGAGACAGCTCCTACAGCTGTTTCTTCCTTTTTACTCACATCCCAGTACTCTTTAGAAATAAAGTCACCACATCAGCAAGAACATCAGGGCTAAACAAAAATAACTTGAATTTTAAGTCTCATTAATTCTTCTTCTAAAAGCAAAATGGGTTGCGTATCTTTGTCCCTATTTTCTCTTACTCCAGGGCCTCTTTATATCAGCTTCTTTTCTCTCCCCCAGAAACTTAACCTAGGTCCTAACTCTGTACCTACTTCATATATGCCCTTCTCCTTCAACTTATACCAGAAGTAGCTGGAGAAAAACTTGGGTCTTGGGGGTCTGTGTTTCTTTTCTCACAGGGGAGGGGAGAGTTTTTAACAGAATAGATTAGGACCTTTATGTTCCAGAAACATCTGCCAGGCTTTCCCTTTGGTCCCTTTCTGCAGTAAACATTCACTGTTCTAAGCCCTGAATTCCAGGAAGGACAGTTATGGTAATAGCCTTAGTGGTATGAATCCCCTTGCTGTTATAAACCCACCCTGGGGCTCTGAGAGGTGCCAGGAAGCTGTCACTGAAGAGGAACTCCAGACTCTAAAAGCATCCCCTACTTCATCTCCAGTTGTTAGACTTGTTCCAAAGGCCCTAGTGGAGTCCTGTGTCCAGCATGGGCTGAGAGTGGCCAGAACTCATGTCAGGGGCCCTTGGAGCATTCCAGCAAGAAGACAGAAGGGTGTTTCTGTTTCCACCTGCCTGCCACTCAGTATTGTCACCTTGCCTGCTCACTTGTCCTGTTTGTGTGTATATCCTAGCAAAGACCCAGGATGGAGTGGCCTTGGAAATCCAGCCACTCAACAGCCAGGAGGGGACTGACTGTGAGGAAAAGGAGAAGAAAGTAACCAGGGTGCCCAAAAAGGAGAAGTCGGTGCTTCAGGGCAAGCTGACACGCCTGGCTGTGCAGATCGGGAAGGCGGGTGAGTCACCTGAGCCTGCCTATCATTGTTGAGATAACCAGTGCTACTCCTGTGCTGACTTCTACTATGATCCCCTTCCTTCCACACCAAGCTGTACTGGCAGAGGAAGCTGAAGAGTCTGAGTGACTTGTGGTGTCTAAATGGCTGTATCTTTGTTCTCTCCAGAGTTTGGCCACTCCTTGAGCTTTTTCAGAGAATTTTTTTTTTTCTCCTGCTTGTAAAGATTAGCACCATGAGATCTCTCATCCAAACAGCAGGGATGTTTCATACTGGCAAGAAAGAAGGCCTTAGGAACTCTCGCCTGTCTTGTAACTACCTCAAGGACAGAGGAAGCTGCAGTTTTTTAGAAGCAGTTCCCTTGCATAGAGGAATCTTGTGTCCCAGCACAAAGCTATAAGTACACAGTAAAGACCGGAGGGCAAGGAAGACAGGTTAGAGAGACTGTCTTCAAAGAAAGGGGTCCTGTAGCTAGGGTGAGTAAGTGACTTTTCCATCACTCACCCTCTACATTATCCTCCTTCCTACACCTTCTTCTGGCAGGGGGGTGGGGCAGCAGAGGGAGGAGGGAACAGAAGGAAGATTGCTACTTGGTGCATGTATCCCTCAAGGTCTGGTCTGTTAATTAATATTCTGTGGCCCCACTCTGCTGCTTACCACAGTCATACGAGGCATGTCTTTGTGGGAATAGTTCATGGAGGATCCTTACTAAAGTGCAGATTCAGCTCAGGTTTATGGTAGGGCCTGAGCATCTGCATTTCTAATACACGCCCTCTCTCAACAATACCAGTGCTGCTGATCCACAAAGCAAGGATCATCAGGGATCTGTGATAAAGACACTACAATAGCCACTGGCTTCACATTGCTCCTGTGAATGTTGAACAGTCGCATGTGGCCAGTGGCTACCATACTGGACAGGACCAAGAGAAAACATTTTAAGCATCACAGAAAGTTCTGTAGTAGTTTATTGACCTAGCCAATTCATTCCAGTCTAGTACTTAGCTGATTCTGACTACCTTGAAGTCTTATGTATAGACTCTGTGAATGAGATTAACTGTGGGTACAAAAGCCAGTTATTGAGTCTGGCACCCAGAAACATTAACAGATCCCCTAACCCAATTGTTCTCATCCCTGTCTCCTTCTCCTCTCAGGGGTAGAAGCTATCTGGAGATTGGCTACTGGTCTCCTGTGTTCTGTTTCACAAATCAAGCTAGGCCAGGACTTGGGTGAAACAAACAAGGTACCTCCCAACCCAGAAAATGAGTGCCTTCCTAAATTTTGTACCATAGGCACCTTGCTTCTTTACCCTGGTCCTAGTCCTAGTCAAAGAACAAACAAATATACTTTCATCCTTATCATCACCTCTAGCCTTGTTGAGAGGCTCCTGAATCTGCAATGCTAAACTGTGGCTTTAAGGAGAGCATTTCCCAAATACTAGGCCACAGATTGGTTATATTTGATCTCTTCAATCCTCAGAGTAGCCATGTTTTGTTTTGTCTTGTTAATGTTATTTATTTTGAGTCTATGTGTACAAGCACACCTGTGTCATGCAATGCCTGCAGAGGTCAGAAGAGGGCGTTGGATCCCCTGAAACTGGAGTTATGGATGGTTGTTAGCCACCATGTGGGTGCTGGGAATCAAACCTGGGCCCTCTGCAAGAGCAGTCAATGCTCTTAACAACTGAGCCATCTCTCCAGCCTCTTGTTTTATTTTTTAACCTCAATGTGTAAGATGACCAGATATCCCAGCTGATTGAGATTGTCTCAGTTTTAGCACTGAAAGTCTCTGAAATGGTTCCATCTAAGGCAAACCAGGATGGTCACCATACCAGTGTGCCATGCCAGCAGCCTCTCTTCTCTTCTTTGAAAAGGGGGTAAGAGTAGCACTCCATCTCATAGGGTTATTGTGAAACAGTCGTAAGGCTTGCCTGGCCCATGGTAGGAACTATGTAAATTGTCATCATCGTCATCTTCTTGGTGTCCTATGATAGGAGAAAATATAGGCAATGTGCTAGTGCTAGCACTGGAGGGGCATCTCTGTAACCAAGTTGTGAATTCAACATTCACAGGGCAGTGGGAGAAAAGCCAGTTGATGAACTACTAGTAAGTACACAGATACATTTGCTATTCGGTGGACAATGGAATGGACTTAGAAAGCAGACCACCTTGTTAAACATAAGAAAAGAATAATAAAACAGCAGTGGTCAGTCCAGAAAGGAAGTGGACACAGTACCCTTCAGAAGTTATAGTTTATTAGAAGGGCCTTGGGGCCCTAATCAGCCCTCAAGGTGGGAGAAAGAATGTTATACAAAAATAGTACAATATGGATACGTCCTTGAATATGCTCCTAAACATGGTGGAGGTTTACAGGAACTGGGGGAGAGCCTCTTCAGAGAACAGCCTTCAAAGAATCTCCCTGAGCAAATCCTTGAACAAATTTCAAGAACAAAGGGAAAAATCAGACTTTTATAAGTTTTGTAGGGAAGGTGAGAAGTTTCACATCATGTGATTTAGTTCAAGCTAGCATATAACAAAGAGCTTGTAGAAGCCAGGTACCATGAACTGAAAGCTGTCAAGTCACAGCCCAGACTGTTTCTTGACTCTCTGTCCAAGAGAGCTGTAGGGAGGTATGGCCTGACCTCTTCAGGCTGTGGGGTCTGGCCATTTAAAAATAAGCACTGTCTTTTAAAAGTAGGCTCATGTTCTATTATACCCCACTCCCCTTTTTAATTTGTTTTGTTGTTTTATTTTGGATTTTGAAACAAGGTCTCCTGAGGTCTCCAGACTGGCCTAGACTCATGATCTTCTTGCTTCATTTTTCCAAGTCCTGAGATTACACCCAGCAACTCCTTTATGTATGAATGAAGAATTTGGTCTAGGAAATAGACTCAGAGGGTCAACAACTAGTCCAAAGAAATGAGTCAGATTGGTACTATGCTGACAACAGAATCCATGTCTTTGGAACCACTGTTTAGAACTGTTGTCTTCTTCTCATGTCACAATGTACAATCCACAGAGAATAGGTGGAAGATTTTAATAGGACTTTCTAAAGCTTATGGTCTTCAAAATTATAGAGAGGGTGTAATAGGCTGACTGAAACCTAGGTTTACATGCATTGTTGCCCTGGACAGGTCTCATCATGTCTGCTCTCACAGTTGTCATCCTGATTCTATACTTTGTGATTGACAACTTCGCGATACAGCGCAGAGCATGGCTGCCCGAGTGTACTCCTGTCTACATCCAGTACTTTGTCAAGTTCTTCATCATCGGCGTCACTGTACTGGTAGTAGCTGTGCCAGAGGGGCTGCCGCTGGCTGTCACCATCTCACTGGCCTACTCTGTGAAGGTAAGACTGGAAAAGTACCATTTCGAAAGCTTAAAGACAGAGATGAGAAGGAAGGGCACCACGTACCCTCCAGTGAAAGGATAGGCTGTTCTGTCCTCCACACACTTTGGAGCACCTCACAAGATCAGAAGTCCCTAGCACTGAGGAAGGACCATTTTGGTAAGTTGTACCAGTGTTTAAATAGACCAGCAGAATTTTAAGGAGATTCACAAAAATAGAAGCATGCATTTTGTGTAGGACTAGAAAATGAAGCAAGAAATTTTGGCTAGGACCTGGCCTTTGACCTATGTTTGGAAGAGCTCAATTGATCCTCTTTCAACTCTTTTCTCTTTTCTTTTGTAGAAAATGATGAAAGACAATAACCTGGTACGGCACTTGGATGCTTGTGAGACAATGGGCAACGCCACAGCCATTTGCTCTGATAAGACAGGCACGCTGACCATGAACCGCATGACAGTGGTACAAGCTTATGTTGGGAATACCCACTACCGCCAGATCCCAAGCCCTGATGTCTTCCCACCCAATGTTCTGGACCTTATTGTCAATGGCATTTCTATCAACAGTGCTTATACCTCTAAGATTCTGGTAAGCTTGCCCATTGCCTGGGTATCTGGAATGGGTGATTGGAGAACAATATTCACTTTCTCAGAAGCAAATCGTCTGATGTTTATTCTGCCAGAATTGCCATCCTACATTCCTTTTTTTATTACTGATTGGATATTTTTGGTGATCTTAATCCAGTCATCCAAGTCTTGGGATCTCATAGTTTGCTCTATGGTAATGAAGTATCTCGTTCTCTGGGGGTTATATTCTAATACCCTGTCTTCGTTTCTGGAAAATGAGCAATTTGCTCTGGATAATCTCAAGTCTGTGAGGATAATCCAGGGGAGTGGATGGAAAGCTGGGGGTCAGAGCCTGTAAGAACCCATGGCAGCGTCTCAAGGAGAGACCTCATGCTCACAGACTTGAGCTTATCCAGAACAAATTGTTCATTTTCCAGAAACAAAGACAGGGTATTAGAATATAACCCCCAGAGAATGAGATACTTCATTACCATAGAGCAAACTATGAGATCCCACGACTTGGATGACTGTGGGATCAAGAGCACCAGTGTCTGCCTACCTTTGAAAGAAAAAACAAATACTGCCCCCCACCACCACCCCATGGTTTCTGGTATGCCTGCCAAAGTTGCTTGCCTAAGTTCTCTCTCTGGTGAAAGTATCTTACTCACTAGTCTCATGTCTGTTTTTTCTCTCTTAGCCTCCAGAAAAGGAGGGAGGCCTACCACGGCAGGTAGGCAACAAGACAGAGTGTGCCCTGCTAGGCTTTGTCACAGACCTGAAGCAGGATTACCAGGCAGTGCGCAATGAGGTGCCTGAGGAGAAGCTCTGCAAGGTGTACACCTTCAACTCAGTACGCAAGTCCATGAGCACAATCATCAAGAAGCCCGAAGGCGGCTACCGAATGTTCAGCAAGGGCGCTTCTGAGATAATATTGCGCAAGTAAGCTCCCTTCCTCCCATTTTCCCCTTTGAAATTCTCTCCTCAGGAAGGTCTGTATGGCATGTCTCACACTGAACTAGTTTGAATGATGAGTGACTGTCCAGCCAGATGGTGACATCTGACATCTGAGTTTTTACTTTTTATTCTTAAGAACTTTGGGTGGCTCCTTTTATTTAATCCTCAAACTCAGTGGGGTGGGTTCTTTTATGACGCCTGTTTTACAGGTGAGAAAACAGAAGTGCAAGGAAGTTGCTCATAGAGATAGAGCTAATAGTGCCACAGCCTGGGTTTAGACTGGACAATCTAAGCTTCCATGTCCTAGCTGGTTAATGGAGAAAGTCATAATACTCCCTGTCTCACTGTGCTTGAAGGATTCAGTGAGCATAAGATGCCTTGCATGTACCAAAAGTTAGTTCTCATCCTTTTCTTTCTTATACTCATTCTGATTACCTCTAAAAGTGACTGAGCTACCCATAGGTCTTTACAATTGGCCCAACTTAGGCATAGAGCCAGTAGGAGCCGAATTAAACCAGTGCCTCAACTTGAAAGTGGCCACCATCTTTTAATTAGCTTATTCTTATTTAGCACCTCCTGTACATTAGTCTAGATTGAAAAAGTCTCTCTACTTTTAAGAAGTTTAAATGAGCAGGTGACCCACGAATGCCTCAGTTTGCCTCACCTGTGGGAAAGAGTGCATTATGTGACACTCCTGTTCACCCAAGGCTTACTGAATCTACAGACTACCCTACCTTGAAAAGAGGGACTCATGCTGGGTATGGTGGCACATATCTTTGTCTCAGCACTTGAGAGGCTAAAGCAAAAGGATTGCAATTTCAAGACTGGCCTGGGGGAACTCTGCCTCAAAAAGATTGAAAGAAATAAAAGACCTTAAAAAGAAACAATAGAAACCAGGCATGGTGGCGCACACCTTTGATCCCAGCACTTGGGAGGCAGAGGCAGATGAATCTTTGTAAGTTTGAGGGCAGCCTGGTCTACATAGCAAGTTCTAGGCCAGCTGGGACTACAGAGAGACCCTGACTCAAAAAGACAAAAAAGAAAGAAAGAAACAATGGAGCTAGGGCAATGGAGGCAGAAGGAGCAGTAGTTTAAGGTCAAACCTCAATTAATAACAAGTTTGAGGCCAGCCTGGACTACATGAGACACTATCTTTAAAAAAAAAAAAAAAAAGGAATTCAGCTGAGTAGCTGAGTAACAGATAAAAGAGGTATTCAACCACGGTGCCTCTAAGAATAATACGGAGTCGCCAGAATGTCTGTGACTATTGAAACTTGTTAAGTGGGGAGGTAGACCCTGCTTTCTGACTGCACATCTTCCCAGGTGTAATCAAATTCTGGATAAGAAAGGAGAAATAGTTCCATTCAGAAGTAAAGACCGAGAAGATATGGTGCGCACTGTCATTGAACCCATGGCCAGTGAGGGACTCCGGACTATCTGCATAGCATACCGGGATTTCGATGGCACAGAACCCTCATGGGACAATGAGAATGAAGTCATCACTGAGCTGATCTGCATTGCAGTGGTGGGCATTGAGGATCCTGTGCGCCCAGAGGTAAGGTTTTTGTCTTAGAGAAAGGAGAAGAAAGCTTGGGTGATGGTCTTCCACTGGCTGGCAACAGGGTACAAATCCACCTGGAACTCATGGGAATGAGAAACAACCTGGGACTCAAAGGAATCCAGTGTGTATTCCTGGTCTAACTGTGACCCCAGGCACATTGTCTAATGACTTCTCACTTATGAGATGCTTCTCTGCCACCCACTTCCCACATCTACTGTGGAGTACCAAGGTGGTAGAAGGCAACATCCCTAGAGCTAGAGGTTTCATTGGATTTATTGCCTGGTAGTTAGGAATACTCAGGGGGGCAGAATTAACCAGGATGCAACTTCCTCTTTAGCACGTCATTCAATCGACACATTCTTTTTGAGCAGCCCCTGTATGTAGAACACTATTCTAGACATGAGGGAAATTAAAAAGCTGAGAAATTCAGACAGATGGACTGATGCCTGTCAAGGCCGAGGCTGATGAGGGTGTCCTATGCTTGGGAGACTTCAGTGAGCTCATAGGTTGGAGCCTGGGCCAAGCAGGCAGAGAGTAGTCAGAGCTACTTCTGGGAAGGGAAGCAGTGGCCACATCACCTAAGGAGTCTGGAGGAGTGAGGGGAAGCACAAGTGTTCACACCTGACTCCCAAAACACATTTCCCCTTCAACCATGGGACAGTAAGTGAAATTTAAACATCCGTTGTGGGATAGACAGAAGTAAGGGGGCACTGAGCACTATAAACATGAGCAGACATAGCCTGTCCATATTAAAGGGAGGGCTGAACAGGGGCTATGTGCCAGGTATGGCCAACCTCAAGTCCACCTTTCATATTACTCCTTAGGTACCAGATGCAATTGCCAAATGCAAACGAGCTGGCATTACTGTCAGAATGGTGACAGGTGATAATGTCAACACAGCACGGGCCATTGCCACCAAATGTGGCATTCTGACACCTGGAGATGACTTCTTGTGCTTAGAAGGCAAAGAGTTCAACAGGCTTATCCGAAATGAGAAGGGCGAGGTAGGTTCTGGGAGGGAGCAGCCAGCACACATTTAAAAGGGCAGGGCTGGTTCTAGTGAGTAGTATCTGGGGCACTGGGAGCCAGTGGGTGGCTTCTAAACTCGTCTATTCATAGTGAAACAGGCCTTCCCACCATATTGCTCCGCATGATGAATGGGGAGTTGGCTTATCTTCATTCAGTTGCTTTTAGAGACAAAACCACTAACTTCCACTTTTTCGGTCATAGAATCCTTTTGTACTGGTTTCCCCCACCCTACCCCTCACATGTCACTGCCCTGTGGCTGCCAGTGGCACAGGCTTGTGCTAGAATGTGGTATGAGTATGGATGCTTCCCCATCTACATGGAATCATGCCTAAGACCCCAGGAGCTCCACTGTAGCCCCTGAGCCAGCCATTAACCCTGGCCCTCCTCCTGGCAAGGGTCTAAGAATAAGGATTGGCTTTCAGTAGGAAATTGGGAGGGGAAAGAAAACAAGCAGGGCCTGCACAGTCGGCATCAACAAATCCACCCTTAGAGGCTAAGTTGGCCAGGTCATCTCCCTAGAAGTCAACAGATAAGGATCCCCCAGGGTTGTGGAGTTCCAGCATTCTTAGAAGCTGATATTATATGGAAAAGTGAGATTTCCCTGAACAGCTGATCTGGGTTTGCTGATCCAAGTGCCTCTGATCTTGGCAGGTGGAACAAGAAAAATTAGACAAGATCTGGCCTAAGCTTCGGGTGCTGGCACGGTCTTCCCCCACGGATAAACACACCCTGGTGAAAGGTGAGGTCAGCCTCTGAGGCCAGGCAAGGGCAGGTAAAGAGACATCCTCAGCCAAGTAGAGTGCTTGCTTAGTATGCTGAGTCATCCTCAGTCAGTGGCAGAGTTCTTGTTTAGTATGATCAAGGACCAGAGTTCAGTCCCCATCATCACAAAAAAAGCAACAGGAAGGGCTTATCTATTTAGGAGCCAGGCATGGTGTCACTCACTTGTAATCCTAGAATTTAACAAGTGGAGATAGACAGATCACGAGTTCATGGTCATCTTTGGCTACATAATTTTGAAGCTGCCTGAGCTACATGAGGTCCTGTCTCAAAACAAAAAACGTCACCAGTCAACAATCCTACTGTCCCCTGTAAGGAAGTCCTAGGAGAGCTTCTAGGCTAATGGAGAGAGCATTGAGTTCAACAAACATCTGAGCCCCTGGAAAGTACGTAATATAAAAGTTGGTCTTTGGGGTTTTGGATTTGTGAGGGTTTTTTTGGGGGGGAGGGTTGTTGAGACAGAGTCTCATGTAGCCCAGGTTGGCCTTGAACTCCTGATTTCTCCTGCCTTCCCAAGTGCTGAGGTTACAGGCATAGGTCATCACACTGGGCTAGAGCTGAGCTTTTTAAAAATTCCCTATCTTGGGGCTGGAAAGATGGCTCAGCAGTTAAGAGCACTGACTGCTCTTGCAGAGAACCCAGGTTCAATTCCCAGCACCTACATGGCGGCTACGAACCATCAACTCCAGTTCCAGGGAAATCTGAAGCCTTTTTCTGACCTCCACGGCATTGCACACATGGGTGCACTCACATACATCCAGACAATACATGCATACACATAAAATAAAAATAATAAATTTTAAAAACAATTTTAATTAAAAAAAAAATTCCCAATCTTGAGCCTGGCAAGATGACTCAGCAATTAAGAGTACTAGCTACTTTTGCAGAGGACCTGGGTTTGGTTCTCAGCACCCATATGGGGGCTCACAAGTGCCTGTATCTCCAGTTCCATAGGATCCAACGCCCTTTTCTGGTCTCCACAGGCATTGCATGACATAAGTGCACTTATATGCATGCAGGCAAAGCATTCATACACATAAAAATTTTTAAATAAATTAATTTTTTAAAAATTCCCTATCTTGTTTGTCAATATACAATGAACTAGGTATGGAAAATTTTTAAAAATCTCCTTTTGTCAGAAAGATAGAGGCTGAAAAAACAAATAACTTACCCAAATTGGTAGGCCGAAGTGGTATGCTTGAATACCAGATGTCTGCCTTCAAATCCATCCAGTGCTTTTCCCACTAATAGTGGCTGCTTAGAGCACTGGATAAAGGCTGCCTTTCTTAGCTCAGTGACACCTGTGAAGCAGTTTCTACTCTTGAGTGGTTACCAGCAGTAGAAAGAAAAAGAAAGGAAAAAGAGTAGAGACAGAATGATAGAGATGGAGGTAGACCACAATTGCCCCTTTTGTGGGAAACAAAGTGCTTGCCTAATGGCCCCCAGTGGCACATGTGTTCACTGTTGTGTGTGCTTTTCCCAGGTATCATTGACAGCACTGTTGGAGACCAGCGCCAGGTAGTGGCTGTCACTGGTGATGGAACAAATGATGGACCCGCTCTAAAGAAAGCAGACGTTGGTTTTGCCATGGTAAGTTCACCAGAGTCTAGAAAGTCTCCTTCTCCATCAGGACAGACTTCTGCTTCCTGTGCCTTCACGTCCTGTGTGCTCTTCTCCCCAACTGCATGTGAAAAAATAGATGATGTCAGGAGGAGAAGTCACAAAGCTCCTTACCTAGGAAAATAAAGGCACTTTAAACTTGATTATGAGCATGGTAATGTTGGCTGCCTAGGCAAATTACAGGAAACTCAGGTTCCACATAGAATGTGCACTACAGAATGCGTTCAGTACTGTGCTGAACCACAAGCATCAGAGTCACTTGGAATGTTCGTTTAAATTAAAAAATTCCAAAGGAGCACCTTGATTCACTAGGGTAGGATGTGTACTAAAAGTGTTTGGGGAGTTTGTTTTGGTTTGGAGTTTTTGTTGGTGATAGTAGTGGTTTGTTTGATATTTGTTGTAAGCATACCAGTTGGTTCTGATGTTCAAAGAAGTTAGTCCCCAGAGTGCAGAGTACATCCTCGCATATAAGCAGCTAAGTGCTAAGCCTCTTGTACAAACTGAACTGTTGTTGGGCTTTAAGCAATAGACTTTAGGAAATTTAAGAAGTAATATACGGGACTGGAGAGATGGCTCAGCAGTTAAGAGCACTGACTGCTCTTGCAGAGGACCCGGGTTTGATTCCCAGCACCCACATAGCGGGTACGAACTGTCCATAACTCTGGTTCCAGGGGAATCTGAAGCCCTCTTCTGACCTCTGCAGCATTGCATGGCATGGGTGCACTCACATACATGCAGGCAATACACTCATACACATAAAATAATAAATAAAAATTTTTTTTAAAAAAAGAAATAATATATATTAGCCAGGTTTGGTGGTAAATACCCATCATTTCAACACTTGGGAGGTTGAGGTGGGCAATTCCAGGCCAACCTAGATACATAGCAAGGCCCTATCTCAAAAAGAAAAAAGTAATCTATGTTAAGGAAGCCCCCTTTTAAAAACCAGTTTTTATTCTTAGAAACTTTAAGACTATGCCGAAGGGGCCTGCAGAGATGGCTCAGTGGTTAAGAGCACTGATTGCTCTTGCAGAGGACCTGGATTCAGTTCCTAGCACCCACATGGTGGCTAACAACCATCCCTAACTCCAGTTCCAGGAATTTGACACCCTCTTCTAGTTTTGCATGATGTGGGTGCATCTGCACACACATGCAGGCAAGACACTCATACACATAAAAAATAAAAATAAATTAAAAAAAATTTTTAAGAACATGCCAAAGTAGTTACAATCCCCATGGATCTGTCACTCAGCTTCACTACTGACACTTGGCCCATCTTGTTTCACAGACACTCCTCACCCTCTACCCCTCAACCCCACCACCAGGAGCTTCCTATGTCTCCAGCTGAATTATTTTGGAACCAATCTAAGACATTATGTCCTTTTATCCATAAAAATCTAAATATATGCTGAGCATGGTGGCATACACCGTCAATCCTAGCACTTGGGAGGCAGAGGGAGGAGGATCTCTGTGAGTTTGAGGCCAGGCTGGTCTACACAGTGAGTTCCAGGCCAGCTAGGGTTACAGGGAGATTCTGTCCCAAAAAGACCAAAAAAAAAAATTGAATATATATCTCTGAATAATATATATCAATAATACATGTATAAAGAGGGCTGGAGAGATTGCTCAGTGGTTAAGAGCACTGCTGCTCTTGCAGAGGACCTGGGTTCGATTCCCAGCACCCACATGGTGGCTACAAACTGTCCTTAATTCCAGTGCCAGGGAAATCCGAAGCCCCCTCCTGACCTCCGTGGCATTGCATGACACGGGTGCACTCACATACATGCGGGCAATACACTCGTACCCATAAAATAAAAAAAAATTTTTTAAGTATAAAGAATCCCTTTATTTTTTAATGATTTATTGAGAATTTGATACATGTATATAAGGTATTTTGAGCAAATCAATGCCCACTCCCTCCCCTCCAGTTCCTCCCATATCTCCCCATCACTTTTTTTCTGATAATTTCATGTACTCTTTCTTTTTGTTTTTTTGAGTTTTTTTTAATATGGGGCTTTTTGCTACTCTAACATTCCCCCCCTCTGAAGGGTTAACCCTAAAACCTTTTAAGGATTAGATAAGAGCATATTCCATTCCTGTGGTTTTTTTAAATTTTCCATAATCTTTGCTTGAGCAGTACAGTTCTTCAACTTTATCCTCCACTGTTGATACTGTTTTCCATTTCATTCATTCTAGTGGTGAGGCTTTCCCTTGTTTCAAGTTGGCTTATTGAGTTTTGCACTTCCTTCTTCATTTCTGCCTGAGTTTTCTTCAATTTTTCTCTCTTTTGTGAATTCATTCAGAAGTTTATCCTTATCTTCTTTTAGTTCTTTATTTGTTTGTTCGTGTGTTCTTTAAATTTGTTGAATTCCTTGATCGTGTTTATGACATTTCTTTTAAATTCTGTGTCCTGGGTTATCTCTAGGGGGTTCTCCTTGTAGAACTCTTCTACAGGAGGTAGAGTTTGGTGGGGACATAGTGTTTTGGTTTCCATTTTGTTATTCTTTTGTTGTGATCTTGGCATGTGAATTTCTTTTGTTGTTTGTGATTGTGATATGAGAATTAAGTTGAAGTTTGCTTCTGTTTGTATTATTGGTATGCCTTGGTCCTTTTCTTATTGGTTGTGTAAATCTGGTTGGTCCAGGTTTCAGGTTCTCTCAGGTTTTATTTTGGAGGGAGTTGATGGCTTCAGGTCAGCTACTCAGGAGCACCCACGGAAGCCCAATTCAGGTTCCAGTCAGGTACACTCAGGCTTCCTTCTAAGGTTTGTGTCCCTACTAGCGGGAACCCAGAGCAAAATTTGGGAAGTTCCCTAAGGAGGGAGCTGATTTTGAGACTCTCAGGAGATCTGCTGAGTTCTCAGCCCCTATGCCAGGGGGAGGTCAGGACAAGCACTCTCTGGAGGTCTGCTAAGATCTCTGCCTTATCCTACCAAAGCCAGAGGTCTGCCCAGGAGCCTTGGGAGGGGCCTCACGTAATCCTAGTTAGGGGGTTGGGTACCACACAATTAGGGAAAGCTCACCACCACCACTACATGGAGGCAGGATGGGGCGCTCTCAAGCAGTCCACTCCTTTCTCAGCCCCTATGCCAGAAGGAGGCCAGAACAGCACTCTCGGGCAGTCTGCTGAGATCATAGCCGCTACACCGGCCCTCTCAGGCTGTCTGCTCAGATCTCTTATTTTTGTCTTTTGAGGTAGGGTCTCTCTGTAGCCCCAGCTAACCTGGAACTCACTATGTAGTCTGGGCTGGCCTCCATCTCACAGAGATCTGTCTGCCTTTGTCTTCCGAGTACTAAGATTAAATTTGCACTACCACACCCAGCTACATGTGTAAGAATCTTAATGCAGTTTTCTCATGACAAAATTGACAATTCCTTACTATCCTTCAAATTCTAATAAGGATCCTATTTCCCCACCTGACACATCAATGTCTTTAAAGCTTATTTGTGTAAGTCATAATCCAAATAAGATCCACTCATTGTGATTGTCTGATGCATCTCTAATGTCTGAATCCCTAACTTTGGCTCTTAAAATGCACTCCACCTTCCACTGCACCAGCAGGTACCTGAAAACCTTAGGAAATGCAGATTCTCAGACACTGCCCAGATCTATCATGTCAGGAAAGCCTGGAGTTGGAGGCGCAGTGGTCTGTTTTACAAGCCCTCTGAGATCCTAATGTGCCCTAGTGTTTGAGAACCACTGACTATAACGTCCTGTGTTCCCAAAGGTGTAGATTTACTAGAAGAACTAGTAGAACTCGGCATACACCCTCGGTGTACACATGGATGGCTGAGATTTATTACAAACGTGTGGCAAGGATACAGTTAGATCACAAGAGAAAAAGATACCATCTGGATCTAGAGGAATCCACTTGAAGTCTCCATGTGCTTTCCCTAGCAGGAGGATAGTCATTCTTTCACATTTGCAGAAATGGAGCAAATGTGTGTGACGCTCCTGCCTGGGAGGCCCATCCCAGTCAGCTCCCAAAGCTTTCATTAAGACTGGCCTTTTGGGAACCTTCTGCTGACACATACCAATCCAGAGTCCCAGAAGGAAAGTAGGTGTTTGATATAAACCAGATTATTTCAGCACAGTCTACGAAGTATGTCCAGCCTGCAGCCAACCCAGGTCATCAGATCTGCAGAGCACAGCCAAGGATAGCTACAAATGAGGCCCAGCATAAAATTGTAAACTTACTTAAAATATTATTTTTGTGAGTTTTGTTTTGTTTGTGACTATATTGTGCCCCTTTCAAGTGTGAACTTTGTAGGTGACAGTGTTGTGTCACAATGTCAAAAGGTTGGAAAACACCTGGCAGAACGAGCTAGTGAGCTGCCCTTCTCAGTTAACTGCTGACCAGGAGTGTTCTGAGAGCCAAGTTTCCAGGAGCTAGCCAAGGCCAACCTTGCAAACAGGCCTTTCTAAGGATAGCAGTATCAGGTCCGCTATGTTAAGATTTTTGCTCAGTTCCATTCCATCTTTTTCCTATTTTATTTCGAAGGAACTGGATTTATTGACTGCATAGACTATTCCTACAGTGCCAGTTTTGTTAATTATTTTTCTATAGTTTCCTTTAATGTGTCTGGTTCCTTTTTTGTTTGTTTTGTTGGCATTTTTTTTCTTAGTGGGGGCGGAGGGGGGTCATACATGCACATGTGTGCCTGCCTGCCAAGACATACATATAGAGGTCAGAAGACACCTTTCAGGAGTTGGTTATCTCCTTCTACTATGGGAGAGTGAGCTCAGGTCATCAGGATTTGCACAGCAAGTGCTTTTTTTGAGACAAGGTCTCACTATATAAGCCGGGATTGTCCTGGAACTTGCTATGTAGACCAGGCTGGTTGTGATCTCACAGAGATCTGCCTGCCTCTGCCTCCTGAGTGCTGGGATTAAAGGCATGCACCACCATACCTAGTGCTTTTTTCTTTTTCCCCTCCTTTTTTCCTCATTTGATGTTTTGAGATATAGTC